AAAAAAAAAAAAAAAAAAAAAAAAGAATTAACATTGCTTTAATGACTCAAAGTTTTTTTTTGGAAGATACAGAAATATTTCTCACTAGCTTAATGTTGACAAATCTGTATTTATATTGCTTTTACTTATTATTTTTAAGATATTATTCTCTTAAAGATTTCAAAATATTTTGGAAATTAATCCTTTATGTGCTAAATGCTATACTAATCGATAAGATAGCTGTATTCTGTTGTATTAACAAGATAAGAAATTATGCATAGAGGAATACTTCTTTTTCATTCAGAAAACTCAGGATTCAGAAATACTTCTCTGCCTGCTTCTGCCTCATTCTTTCATCGAACAGCTGATAAATGACATCAAAATAGATGCTGCAATTTTTAAAAGGTGAATGATTTGCTTCCTCATTAATGTTTGAATGAGACGTATTTATAACAGTGCTTTCCAATCCTTTGACAGAGACTGTAAGCCCAAAGAAATATTTGGAAGAAAAGGATCTCTGGCATGCAAATGTTTCTAATTATTATATTTAGTTCTTATTCTTGGTCTTTAAGAATGACTTTGAACAACCAACATAAACTTGATATTCTGTCTGCATAATAATACCTAAATAAGAAATGGGATGTTTTGTCAGAGCATGCCATACCTGTTTGCATTAAATAAATGGAAAAATACCGAAATCATTTTAATCTTACAGAGAGGACTGTGATGAGATTTTCTTAGATATGCAAAATTTTCCTTTTTCCAAAGGTCATGCTTAGCTTACCACGATTTCTATTGCTATTTAATTTTGTATTATTTTCCCCACTATTCCTTTTCAGTACTTTCTGAGCTACTCAGCTTTACAGGTCTATTACAACTCAAGAAGAGTGATTTTCTAATCTTTAGCCCCTTCCAGAAATAATGAGCTGGCATTGCACAACCATTGAGCACAGTATTTTTTGTTGTTGTGCTTCTTTTCTTATGGCAACCTCTTCATCTTACAGACAAAGCTTAATTGCTCCATTGAAACACTGGCAGCAAAAGTAACCTTCTCTTTCCCCCTTCTTTGTGAAAAAGACTTTCACTTGATTTGGAGAAAGATGTTAGGTCCAGGGTAACTGAATTTCTTATTAACCATTTGCCCCTAGGAGGAATGGAAACTTTTGAATAGTGTCTAAATTCAAACGTGTGGTTCCATGGCCCAGAGGTGGTAAAACAAACTGGCCCCGCATTATTTTGTTCACTCTCTATTATAGCCTTTTTTTTTTTTTTTTTTTGGGGTACGCGGGCCTCTCACTGTTGTGGGCTCTGCCGTTGCGGAGCACAGGCTCCAGACGTGCAGGCTCAGCGGCCATGGCTCATGGGCCCAGCCGCTCAGCAGCGTGTGGGATCTCCCCAGACCGGGACACGAACCTGTGTGCCCTGCATCGGCAGGTGGACTCTCAACCCCTACAGCACCAGGGAAGGCCTATTATAGCCTTTTTAAGACACAGTATTGTTAATTTTTATATCTTTATTCACTTACTCATATTTGAATTATTAGAGATCAGTCTATTGTATTTTATTCATTTTTGAATCCGATATGCCTAGGATTGTGCATGGCTTAATAAATGCTTGCTGAATGTAAATATACTCTTGGCTTCATACTTATGTTTTATCTACCAAATGGATTACTCATAGTAAATTGTTTATATTAGGCTGGCTACTTTTTAATAGCAAAGTACTTCTGGAAAACTTTCTCTTGCTACTAGATTGTATATACCTGATGCATGAAAATTAGAGTTAATATTATTATAAGAGGTATAGAATCATTAAGATTTTCTATTAAAAATAAATCTTCTAGAATATTTTAAAATAATAGTGTTATTCACTACAATCCTCTAATCTGTTACCTGTATATTTAGACTGAATTTGATTAAAATTTCCATAATGTGCCTTTTAATTTCTAGATATTTTCTAAGCAGACCGACCTGTAAATTAAACTTACCATTCAACCAATCAATAAACTTTTACTGAGCACCTACTATATGCCAAACACTATCACACTTTCTGGGAATATGGCATTGAGCAAGTAAGATGAGATCCCTGCTTTCATAGTCTACATTCTAGAGAGAAGTGACATACCATTAACATATAAACAAGTACATGAACAATAAAATGTGGCATAAGAAGTGCTGTGCTAAGAATTCACAGGGTGATGGCATGGGAATGGGGGGGTTACTAATTTACATTAGGTTATCAGAAGGGTTTCACTGAGGATACTGAAACTGAGGCTTGAATGACAAGAAGGAACCAGACATATGAAAACTTGGAGATCGTTTTGGATTCAGTGGATGGTCAGGAAGAACATTTCAACTGAAACTTTGATGGAAAAGAGTGAGCTAGGCAAATAGCAGAGGGAAGAGAATTCCTGGAAGAAGATACAGCCTGTGCAAAGGTTCTAAACCTGGAGTTCTTGGGAGAATTCTTACTGTATATCTAAGGAAGAGAGAGAAGGGAAGAGTGGCATGAGATGAGGCCGGAGATTTAACTAGGAGTCTTCAAGGAAGATTTTTTAAAGCAGGCTGAGGAATATATATTTTATTCTAATCAGAGGAGTGACACAACTTGGTTTATATTTTTATTCATCTTCCCTCTTCATTGAATTTTGATCATCTTCCTTTTTAAAGGACTTTTCCCAATAGCCTTCAAACGTGCTCTGATCTCATCCATCTTTAATTCACAATCTTTTATTTACCACTCTTTCTACTCCCTTTCCCAGGCATGCTTCT